AGTGTTCTACTAAACATGATATTGACCTACAGTGTTCTACTAAACATGATATTGACCTACAATGTTCTACTAAACATGATATTGACTTACAGTGTTCTACTAAACATGATATTAACCTACAGTGTTCTACTAAACATGATATTTGACCTATAGTGTTCTACTAAACATGATATTTGATCTATAGTGTTCTACTAAATATGATATTGACCTACAGTGTTCTACTAAACATGATATTGACCTATAGTGTTCTACTAAACATGATATTTGATCTACAGTGTTCTACTAAACATGATATTGACCTACAGTGTTCTACTAAACATGATATTGATCTACAGTGTTCTACTAAGCCTGATATTTGACTTACAGTTTAGGATTTCATATTGTGGTTTCATGAAAATTGCAAGACAGTGACTTGGGTTTAAAACGGGCCATAAAAAAGGCTTTTGAATTCTCTGAATTATACATTTTCCATTTTTAAGCCATAAAAAACGACAATTTCTTCAACATTATTGTTAGATCAATGTTTAAAGGGTACCGTTGTGAATTGGAAATGACCCTTTTTATGTGTTAGATAATTTGAACAAATTTTCGACGAGGGTTCCTTTAAATAACGTTTATTATATATACCTTAGCTGGATTATGGAGGACAGGTAGACCAAAATCTCCCAGGTCTGACTTTAATTTTTTTTTTATTAGAAAACAATATCTATTACCTTCAGACTAATTACAAAATAGTTTTATGGGTCACTAAATTTGTTATTTTTAGAGTACAGGGGACTCATAAAATTATGGTATAGGATGTTAGATTCAAGTTATTTATAAGTAGTCAATTGAACACGAAACGCAACAATTTTGAAGTGTACAGTACACTGTACCAAGGTAATAAGGCAAGTTTCAAGTCTGAGTCCAACCTTCAAGATGAGAATATTTTTTGAAAATCTGGCCTCGTTAGGGCATAAAACATGGTTAGACTAAAGTTTTGCAATTATTTTTTTAATGTTGAAATCTTCAAATCCATGAGAATGATATCAAAGTTTATTTAGGTTAAAAATTAAACCTCTTCTGCCTCCAAAATGGCTAACTTTCATGATCCAAAAATTATATCAAACTATTAACTTGAACATGGTCTAAAATCTTTTCGTTTCAACCCAAATAAAAAAATTCCAAATTCTCAAACCTCTGGGAATTTGGGAAATATCCCAAGTAGCTATGCATTTGAGAATTTTCCTATATCATAAAAATTTCCCAGATTCCAAGGCATTTGGGAAATTTTTAAAAATATTTCAAATACATCACTATCAGATTCCAACAGGAATTTAGGGAATCTGAGGAATTTGCCAATTACCCAGGCCTTTGGGAAATTTCCCTAATACCTAGGAATTTGGGGAATTCCCCAGATTCACAGGTATTTGTGAAATTTCCAATTTTGACAATTTTTCAAATTGCTCGGGAAACTAGACATGAAGTCATTACAAAATTTTGCTAATCTATAAAAAAAATCACAGTCGGCAACAACTTTGAGACATCACATTATTTACCTACGTACCTTTGTGCTTAAAAAGTACAAAAAAGTACATCGACTTCCCCATGTATCATATACTCTAAATTAAAATCATAATATAACCAGGAAACAGTGATATTTGTTCTTTCTTTTAATAAAAAAATGTCAAATATGTAAATACAGTAGGACCCGAAAAACTATGGAATAGGAAGACGACATCTAAGCAATGTTATGTGTTTATAATTGATGCCAGCTTTATAAAGCATATAGTTTTACTAGCAGGATGTAAATTAACCTTTTGAATGAAATGGGTTTAACTTAACAATGGGCCGTGTTTTATGTTCATATGAAAATTATTCAAATTAGATTATACTTGATTCTAACAGCTGTTTCCTATTGCATACTTTTATCGGTGTCGCTGTTTTGATAAAAAAATACTCATTTTAAATTTTGTTGAAAAAGGTATCCACCATTTTAATGCTATCAGGAATCAGTTATGACAGTTAATATTGTATCGGTTAACAGTTAACATTGCATCTGGTAACAGTTAACAATGTGTCAGTTAACAGTTAACATTGCATCAGTTAACAGTTAACGTTGCATCAGATAACAGTTAACATTGCATCAGTTAACAGTTAACATTTCATCAGTTAAAGTTAACGTTGGATCAGTTAACAATTAAAAATGTATCAGTATAACTTACGCTTGTGCTTTTTTGCTTAATGCAGATGGCTGGGTTAGAATAAGACAAAGCACTCTGTTAAAATAAAGACATTTTATATCAAGCCTTTCTTCTTCGAACAACAAACAATAAGTTTTTGTCTGCTTTGGTTAATTTTTGACATTTGAAATAAAATCTGAATTTACAATTTTGGCATTTATCATGGGGCCATGTAGGGTTTCCTGCAAAAGCAAATTTTTGCTTATGAAAACAACTTCGCGAAATTCTCACAATTTTTAAATGAAAAAAAATTTGAGGAACGGTGCGCAATTCCGCAGGAAAAAGATGCACGAAAATTGCGCAATAAACCTTTTAAGTTTTACAACATGTTGGAAATATCTACCACAAATCCCAAAGATATATATGGACATTCTTTTAGTGTTGACAGTCCGGGAAATATTTATTAGTTGGTAACAGTTTGGCTGCAGGTCAGTATTGATGTATTAAAGGAATTCAGGAGATGATGGAGTTCATGGATTTCCAAGCAATCCTTCACATTCTCAAGCATTGGAAACAGATGAGATGAGAAAATTTCGAAATCTCATGCTTACTCCAACAGTTATGCCTGGGGATCCAACAGATGTAGTTAACACATACCATATTATCATACAGGGAAGATAATATGCCTAACAATGAAAATAATGAAGCAGTTAATCCCATATCAGAAAACCAAGCAGAACTTGAAAATGGAATTAGTGAGGACAATACAGCTGCTAGAGGAGTAGAAGCAACCCCTCCCCCACCCCCCCTATCTCTCTTGAAGATGATGACGTAGATATGGAAACGCGGAATAAGTTCATGGAAACCCAAGACGTATATGGAGTCAAGAGGTCAATCAGTAACATGTGTTCTGATATCATTCTAGAACCAGACATTAACATGAATACATCAGATATTACCAGAACACAGAAAAGACACAGAAATCAGCAACAAGGAGAGTGCAAGTGGAGACACAAAGGGATCAAAAGGAGTCACAAATAGTATCCTATGAACTAGAAGACAATCTGGATGACTTGGATCAATTGCCCGCTAGGACAATGCAATACCATGACAGAGAAAGGAAAACAAACTCCTCTTATCCAGGAACCATTGGACCTGGCCTGTATAGCCCTATTTTTCAACACTCTCTTCCCCCCCCCCCATTTGTAGCAAATAAAGAGGCCCATAATAAATTACGTCGTAAATTGTCCATAGCTAAATGGGCCCATTAGTAAATATGTGAATCATGTATTGCAATTAACCCATTCAATAAATGTAGATATATATAACTCTGTCATATCCATATTGTGATTGCTTTACTTCTTTTTATGCTGTTAAAGACACAATTCACATCTAACCTAAAGAAATATAACAGATGATATAGTAACTCTGTAGAGAGAGTAATTGTTCCTTGTTTTAGTAAACAGATCGAGGAATATTCCCTTTGATTTGGCATTGATAGTTGCGAGCTTCTGATTGATATCAATAGCTAAGGAGATTACGCCTAGTGCTTATGGCGTTGATAGATCACCACATTGTATCTGTGTGGTTCCCTGTTTTGATAAACAGGTTGAGGATTGCTTAACTACGTTATATATATAAGATTGCATAACTTGTAATTATGCTGTTAAAGACCCAATTCATATCTAACCTGAAGAAATATAACAGTTGATATAGTAACTCTGTACTGTTTACTGCGAGAGAGTAATTGTTCCTTGTTTTAGTAAACAGATCGAGGAGCATTCCCTTTGATTTGGCATTGATAGTTGCGAGCTTCCGATTGATATCAATAGCTAAGGAGATTGCGCCTAGTGCTTATGCCCAAGTAAAAATTTTGCGGAATATCCGCGGAAATTCCCAGGAATCTTTCCTGGGAATCCGCGGAAATTCCCAGGAATCTTTCACAGGAAAATCCGGTGAAAATGTTGACAGCTTTGCCCAGGAATTTCTCGTAACTCATTCCGAGGAACCAGGTCCGAGGAATTTCTTGTAACCCATTCCAAGGAAATTCTCGTAACTCTATCCAAGGAATTTCTTGTAACCAATTCCAGGAAATTTCTTGTTTTCCAATTCTTCAGAAAAACCAGAGAAAATTTGGGGAAATTCTTGGGAATTTCTAGCGAAAAGAAGGTGGAGGATTGTTCCCTTTGATTTGGCTTTAATAGTTGCGAGCTTCTGATAGATCTCGATAGCTAACGAGATTGCACCCATTGGCAGTGGCGTTGATATTTCACAGGATTGTACACAGGGTGTCCCAAAAAACATGGGAATTCAGTGACGAATTGGATATAGTCTTTGTCATGAAATAGCATTGTAATACCTAATTTTTAAAGCCATAATATTATTATGTCTGCTAGAGTTTATTTATGAAAAGGGTAAAAGGCTGTAAAGATGTGTCTATAATGTCTCTGCAAGATGAACAGTGAAGACGGACAAGTTTGTTTACTGCAATTTTCTTGTTTTACTAAGTACAACCGTATCCAATCAAAACATAAACAAAAAAAATGTGAACATAGCAGACAAAACTCTTACAGATTACAGCTTTTCTCAGTAGGTATCACTATACTAAATCAAAGAACTATTTAAAAAGACGATATCGAATTCGTCACTGAATTCCCATGTTTTTTGGGACACCCTGTAACTGTGTGTTGACATTGATAGTCAAGAGAATCTGAGTTGTACCTGGATAGATACGTTTCGAGAAACTGTTTTGGAGTAGGCATTTACTACACTTATTGTCTTTATTTCCTGATTGGAGATCTGTTTGGTTTAAACTGTTTAAACTTATTGCTGAGATGATGTTTGTATGATTTCTGGTTCATTTCTACTTCTAAATATAAATCATAATCATTATAAAGAGATGTAATTAGGTCGTCATTTAAAGTCTTTAAATTAGAAACGTCGCTAATGTTTTTTATTGCCTACGCGTCTGTGTACAGCTTAAGCTTAAAAGGAGTAATTGGCAAAATACTTGATTTTTGTAGAGCGCACATCTTGATTAGCAGTGAAATGTATCCTGAGGTCAAGATTTTGTGCAAAATAACGCTAATTTTTAAAGCTTGTATTTGATATCCACTGTGAGTTGTGGCAACTTTAAAATTTGAGAGAATTGTGTTTTCTCCTGGCCGTAATTAACGTCAGTGAGCATTAACCATACATTAATTAAAAATAACAGATAGGAAACTAAATGTCGTCTTTTCAAGATTTTGGGGCTTTTCGTTCACCATAGCCCCAGGGTAGAAGCCCAAAGGAGTTACGCACAGTCGGCGTAGAACAGGCTCTCTCTCTGTCTTTTAATTGTATGCTGCATTCGCGTAACTCCTTTGGCCGTCTGCCTCAGGGTCATATGTTTTGAATCAGAGATCAAGAATGACTGAAAACGTGTCGATACTTCGTTTTACATACAGGGTGTCAAATGAAACATGACAGTTTAGAATGTCATCCATAATTTCTTATGTTGTTTGATACCTGTAAAGACAATCATACAAATATTATATGGGAGTCATGTTATAGTAAAATTGGTTTCAAAGTAAAATATGTTGCAGAAAAAGAATTTTTTATTGAAATAAACTGCGAAAAGCCTTAAATATCTAATAAAATATATGAAAGAAGACTTTCATAATTAATTAACAACTGTCATGTTTCGTGGGACACCCTGTAGCTTCATATACATCGCAATTTTTTGGTTTTAATTGGTGCATTTTCAAAAAGAAAAATGTCTACATTTTTCCAGACAGACATGCCAAATTTATATAAACGCATTGTAAAATAAAACATAGAATATAGCAAACAAAATGAAAAAAGACCAATNACTGAAAACGCACAGGCGCAAGGAAATGACACACATTATCCAATTTTTTTTCAAGTGTCATTTTCATGCGTTCTTGCGCGGCGCAAGAACGCACTTTTTTGCTAAATAAAATGATATTTTTCAATTGAAATCAAAGTTTTTATTTAAAATGCACTGGCGCAAGGAACAACATGGATTGCTGATTTTATTTCGATTCAAGATTATCACAAATAAAAGAAAAGATAACGCACAAACGCACAGATATATTGACATATAACCCAAATTTTGATTTTGGGGCAGTTTACACCAATACAGCCTACCTAGCACTTAGCAGTCTGTGTATGTAGTAAACTATCTGTGTTATAGACTAGCACATCTGCACTCCAGACAAGATAATGGACAAGGACCCCATTTCTAAACATAGGTTGAACTGTTTCTCATAATTAAAACCGTCAGATATTTACGAGATTGATTTTTATGTTCTGATCCAATATTTATTTACTTTGTTGCACTTCTCCTAAAAGAAATGATTTTTAAAAACGGATCAGCACTATTTTCATATTTTTTCGCTTGTTTTTATTGACTTGTTTCCTTTTGAATTTAAGATCCAAGATTTAGTAATTTTGTTGCACTTCTCCTTTAAAATGAAGATAAAAAACACAGATCTGCATTATTTTTTCGCTTTTTCTAGTTTATATTTTCATATTTCCTTTTTGATTTTGTCTTCATTTGTGTTTTCCCTCCTGTATTTAACAGTAAAGTACGAAAAGTACTTTACAAAGTCTAAATTTTGTGTCAAGATTGCTGCTCAATATTAAGTATGTCTTTCATAACAGAGCTGTCGATACTTTAGATCTCAATTTTATATATTCCTGAGCAAGTAGAGAGTATATAGCGAAAAGCCATTTGTTAACCTTGTGATTTTTTTTATATAAAGATATTTCCGTTATGTTTTCTCAATAAAAGTTTGAAGAAGAAGAATTTCTAAACATGCCATCTATTAAGTACGATAAGAACATATTCATTCTTATAAAAACATATTTCCAGGACAACTATTTTACACAATGTGAACCGGAACCGTTTCAATTTTTATACTTGTGTAAATCTTTTATCCAAGTGATATTTAGTAAATGTGAATTTTATGTATGAATTTCAATCATAATTAAATTAAAAATATACAATTACAATGATGAAAATGTTATTATTATATACAAAACATAATTATACGGATCCAGACAAACTTTTAAAATATATAAAGAG